AAAAACTCAAGCTCTGCATAATAATCTACCAAGCGCATTAATAAATAACTTGAATAATAACTGTAAATTTACATGGTCCAGTTCCCTATGTTATCTGGGAATAAATATAAACTTTAACATTGAAGAATGGACCACTGATAATTATACCATACTTCTTAGAGAATTTAGAAACATAATTCTAAAATGGTCTAAATTACAAATATCTTGGCTTGGAAGAATAAATATTATCAGAGTATATTTACTTCCAAAATTAGAATATCTTCTTCGCATCATCCCACTTAGAGTCCCAAGGAAAATACTTCAATTGTTCCATGGTCTATTTGTATCTTATGTTTGGGGCAATAAAAAAACCAAGGATTGCTCTTAAAGTTATGTCAGCTAGATTAGCAGTAGAAGGTTTATCATTTCCAAATACATTTTATATCCATGACACAGTTATGTTTTCACACTATTTAGAATGGGGAAACAATAACTCAAAGCAGAAATCTTGGTATATATATATATATATATGAAAAGAGCCTAAGTAATACCTTTGACCCTTTCGATCTTTTCTGGATTGATAAAAGACTTTTTAAAAACCTACCTATTGATAACGTAATTATCTCCCACACTTTTCAATCTATAATACCAATAAAGAAACACTTTTTTGCTCCAAACCAAATTTCCTCAAATGCCCCTCTGGAGATTCTAAAATTCTTCATTCAAGATCTTAATTTATCTGGTTGGTTACTTAGAGTTGGGTTAAAAATTCAGGACCTCTACGATTTTTCTGGAATTTGTAGCTTAAAGATAAAATTGGACTTTTGAATAAATAATATTTTACCTATTTAAGAATAAAAAACTTTCTTTATAAGGCAACTATAATTAAAGATTCGCCTTTTTGATAAGATCCTTTTTGGAGAGGTTAAAAATAAATCTTCAGCAGTTAGATCTTTGGAGGTATTAAAGCAAGAGGTAAAATATAATACGATCTCTAGGTGGGAAACCAACCTAAATAAATCTTTTTCACCCCAAGATTGGTTAAAGCATTTGACGTTTTAAGAAAATCGGTCCATTGTATAAACATACAAGAAACATACCTAAAACTTATCCATAGATGGTATATGGTCCCTATAAAAATATGTAAATTTCAAGCCAACTCCTCAAATATCTGCTGGCGCTGTAATAGTGAACATGGTTCATTTAAACATGTGTGGTGGGATTGTATAGGTTTGGACATTCTTAAATTGGAAATATCTAAACTCTTTATTGTTTTAAAAGTAAATTTTACGTTATCTCCAGAAAGATTTTTATTCCATCTAGACTTCCCAAAAATGGATAAATTCTCTCAATATTTAACTATACATATCTTGATGGCTGTTAAAATATGTATTGCTAGGAAATGGAAACAGAATATATCTCCCTCTATAATAGAGATCAAAACACAGATTCAATATCAAGGTCTAATGGAAAAGGCGGTGTACTTTAAGGATAATAATATCAGCTTTTACAACAAGATTTGGGAAAAATGGTTTGATTTTTATAAAGAATAAACTATTCAAGCCTTGGTAACTTAATAACCCTAGCATTGATGCCTTTGTAAGATAAACACGGATAATATCACTCCAAAAGTGGCTCTAGTTATAATGAATACTTTATAGAAGTGATATCAACTCTGTCCCTTTCCCAGATCCCGATGGCCGACCCGATACTTTTTCTTTGTTGTACGTCTTTTTATGTAGTTTTGTGTATAATATAATGTAATATTTATTTTTTGTGTTTATCTCATGACACAACTATTTTTCTCTAATACTTGTTTAATTTGCAAAAATTATAATAATAATAATAATAATAATAATAAAAATACCATTTCATCATTACCCTATGTTCAATAAGGCATTCTAGATCAATCTTTGGAAAAAAACTATCCTATACATCAAATTTTATTTATTTATTTACAATAATCAATTTGGTTAACATAATGTTTTCTTAGACACGAATAATTCAATGCACTTTAACCCCTTCACGACAGGTGACGGACAAGGTCCGAGGCAGACCAGGAGGACCCGATTGTGCTGCCCCTGCATGTACTTACCATCCGCCTCCCTGCGCTTCCGGGTTCTGTGTGAAGTGCAGGGAGATGGATCAGAGCTGATCCTGCTTCCTGTGTGTATATGATGAATGCAGTGTTTTTATGTAGTGTGTATGTATAGTGATTCCAGTGTATGTATATAATTGCAGTGTGTTTGTGTAGTGTGTGTATATGATGAATGCAGTGTGTGTTTATATTGAATGTAGTGTGTGTATAGTGATTGCAGTGTGTTTTGTATGCTCCCTGGTGTATTCATTAGCTGGTTTGGTGAATTAAGACTCTATTACAAACAGGATAATGCTATTCAAGTAGCCGAACATCCTTGCATGTGGAGTATGCTGCTTTTTAACCTTTCAGAAGCTTTGGTTAACCGCAGCTTAATTGACGAACGGCTGGGTGGGCTGTGTTCATATACACAAACACGTGGTGGCGGCGGCCGTTTTGTGAAGTCAGACACAGCCAGCGGGGTTTTGCCATTGATTGCCTGGAACCAAAATCGGACACTCAAAGGCACGAACACCGCTGAGACTTCCACCTTCCAGTGCGGTCGGCTAAATCTTCACGAACAGAGCACTGTTCGGTAGAAGTAATCTACCGAAAGCCCTTCACCACTACCTTGGTGCACAAACGGTTCTGTTTGTCTATTCAGCGTCTACTTTAATTGTGGAAATAGAGAGCCCAACTCTCTGAAACTATTTTGGGCAGGAAATCATGTGTGCGGTCGGTCAAAAGAGACCTCCAGCTTAAGGTTTTAAAACCCCTGCTCTGATCTGGGTGAGTTTTGGATATGTTGTTCACCCAGATCAGGACTATCCAGGGATGTATGATTTATGGGGATATGTTGGAGCTTTGGGGTGTTCCTGCACTTTGGGTAAAAATGGGCACTTTCTGCCTGTGGATAATTAAGTTATTCCATTATATCACAGGTAGAGGGGAGGGATTGCTGACTGTATGTGGGAGTGTTACAGTGCTAATTATTGTTCCTATATTCTTTGTGTCCCTGTTTTCCATCAGGTCCAGGAGGCGTGCCTCTGGCCTGAAAAACTGTATAAAAATGCAAGCTGTTCAATAAATCTTTAGACCTTCTTACCCTCAACTCGCAGCCTCTGCTCTTGTTGTAGGGAAATGCTATACCTGCTTTAAGCACTAGCTCTTTTCAGAGCTCTAAGGAACTTGTTCCTCATAGCAATCTATTTGGATGTCATATTGGTACTTCACAGTGCCATTCCAGATTGGGGAAATTGACATCTAGGCAGTAAATACCCCAAATACTCTAAGGGTGACCGTCACATGTGTAAATAATGCTGAGTGTATGTGTGTGTGTTCCTTCAGGTATGTAATTTGTGTAAAATGGGGGTGGGCGGTTATTTTAATTTTTTAATATTTAAAATGTATATTTTTTATTGGTTTAGTCCCCCTTCCCTGCTTCTTTGCCAAGGAGGGGGAATATGGCATTCCCTGGTGGTCCGGTGGCATGGACTGTTCAGTGGGGGCCCGCAGCAAGCTCTTACCTTCCCTTCAACTCCCCTGTGTAATCTCGCGGCCAGTGTGCCTCTCGGAGCGAGTCCATGGTAATCCGTGGCAAGGTTCTTACAGCCACGGGACTCGTGAGATTTACACAGGGGAGCTGAAGGGAGCTGCTGGGAAGGTAAGTAAGAGCTTGCTGCAGGCCCGCCGGGCTTGTAATGGGCCTAGCGGTACTGGTATGTATTATCGTCAATATCGGTATCTCTATTGGCCGATACTGATATTGCCGAAAATACTGAATATCGGCTAGACCGATAATCGGTCGATCCCTAATAGATACGATAAAATACGGGTCCCGTATAGCAGAGCTCTGACAAGGCTTCTTGCCACTCCCCTATATACACAATTTTGATATTGAAGGGGATAAAACACACAAAATATTTTTTAATGTCTTAATCACCATGATACTTCATGGACATATTTTTTCATTCACAAAAGTGTCAGTTTTTCTAAGTATTGTAAACCATAAATATTTTACAGTTAAAGATTTTCTTTAATTCCCATTTCTTGCAGGTGTTTCTGTCAGCAGAAGTTATCCTGAAATCTATGATAAGAACAAAAATACACCATGCAAGACTATGAAGAAATTACTGAACTGACCAAAAATTCCAACTCTCAAATGTCAAGGAACTTCTCAGAATCCAATATGTCTACAAATGAGATTGTAAAAAACAATGCAAAACCGTTCCCATGTTCACAATGTGGGAAATGTTTTCGCTCATATTCACAATGTGTTGTCCATCTCAGGAGTCACACAGGAGAAAAACATTTTGTATGCTCCGACTGTGGAAAGTCCTTTTGCCATCACTCACAACTTGTGAGCCATCAGAAATCCCACTTAGGAGAGAAACCTTACTCATGTTCTGAATGTGGGAAAAGTTTTACTAGTAAACCAAACCTTAGTAGACATCAGAACACCCACACAGGAGAGAACCCCTTCTCATGTTCTGAATGTGGGAAAAGTTTTTTGACTAAATTGGGACTTGTTGTGCATCTGAGAACCCATACGGGAGAGAAACCTTACTCGTGTTCTGAATGTGGGAAAAGTTTTACTAGTAAATCAGGCCTTAGTAGACATCAGAAAACCCATACGGGAGAGAAACCTTACTCATGTTCTGAATGTGGGAAAAGTTTTACTAGTAAACCAGGCCTTAGTAGACATCAGAAAACCCACACAGGAGAGAAACCCTTCTCATGTTCTGAATGTGGGAAAAGTTTTGTGACTAAATTGGAACTTGTTGTGCATATGAGAATCCATACGGGAGAGAAACCTTTTTCATGTTCTGAATGTGCAAAATGTTTTTCACGGCTCTCACATCTTGTTAAACATCTGAGAACCCACACAGGAGAGAAACCATACTCATGTTCTGAATGTAGGAAAAGTTTTAGTGTTCGAACAAAGCTTCTTAAACATCAGAAGATCCACACAGGAGAGAAACCGTTCTCATGTTCTGAATGTGGAAAATGTTTTGTAAACAAACCAAGTCTTATTAATCATCAGAGAACCCACACAGGAGAGAAACCGTTCTCATGTTCTGAATGTGGAAAATGTTTTTCCACTAAAATGGAGCTTATTACACATCAGAGAACTCATACAGGAGAGAAGCCTTACTCATGTTCTGAATGTGATAGATGTTTCACTCACCGTACACATCTTATTACACATCAAAGAACCCATACAGGAGAGAAACCTTACTCATGTTCTGAGTGTAAAAAAGGTTTTGCCAGTAAATCATATCTTGTTATACATCACAGAATTCACACGGGCGAGAAACCTTTCTCATGTTCTGAATGTGGTAAATCTTTTGTTAGAAAACCAGAACTTGTTAGACATCAGCAAACTCACACAGGAGAGAAACCGTTCTCATGTTCTGAATGTGGAAAATGTTTTTCCACTAAAATGGAGCTTATTAGACACCAGAGAAATCATACAGGAGAGAAACCTTTTTCATGTTCTGAATGTGAAAGATGTTTCACTCAGCATTCACATCTTAATCAACATAAAAAAACCCACACAAGATAGAAACCTTACTCATGTTCTGTATGTGGAAAATGTTTCATCCGTAAATTAGAGCTTGTTGCACATCAGAAAACCCACCCAGGAGTGAAACCATTCTCATGTTCTAAGTGTAAAAAATGTTTTGTCAGTAAATCATATCTTGTTACACATCACAGAATTCACACGGGCGAGAAACCTTTCTCATGTTCTGAATGTGGTAAATCTTTTGTTAGAAAACCAGAACTTGTTCGACATCAGCAAACTCACACAGGTGAGAAAACTCCTAAACTCCTAACACATAATGAATCTATAGATTAACATAGAATTAAATGCTGACAAAATAAATGTGTGAGAGTAACAGTTAATGTACAAATGACGGTATTGTGATAACCCTGCAGGGCCCCTCTTTACCTCCTTCCCCTATAGTATTACGGTTAAATTTGAAGACCACTTCCATGTTCAGCTCTTGCTTTGTTTAATGTTTGTTTTTGTTATTGCAGATATTATCTGGTTTACCCCTTGAAGACTGATGACAGTTCAGGACCGTCATCGGTAACATACCGTTAAGGACCGGTGACGGTCCTGAACAGTCATAAAGGTCACATGTACTTACCTGATCGCCATCGTTCCCCCGGCAACAATCGGTGGTGCTCCCGATGTGGGGAGACTGCCTGCAGCCCAGACATGGTGAATTAGAACCCTGGGGGCCATGTGATTGCTCAACAGAGCGGTCATATGGTCACAATAGGTGTCCTAGTGACTACCTGCAAGGGGACTGCCTGTGCTGTCAAGCAGTCTCCCTGCAAGTGTAAAATAAAAAATGTTAATGTTAGTAAAAATATATAATTATATATGTGTGTGTTTATATAAATATATATATATATATATATATATACATATGTATGATAGACATATTATATCTATATAATATATGTCTATATATCATATATAAGGTCATAATAAGTGTATTTTTATATTAATATATACAGATATTAATATAAACATACACTTAGAATTAAATTACACACGTGTGTATATATATATATAATAACTATACATTTTGTGTGTATATATATTATAATAAAATACAAATAATAAGTAAATTAAAGGAAAAAAATTTAAAATAATTAAATTGTAAAAAAATCTATCTGAAATTTTATTCTAACTATATTTTGATATTAATATTTATATCAAAATACACTTAGAATGAAATTGTGTATATCTATATCTATTTATATATAAATAAAAATAATACGAAATATACATATGTCCATATACAAAATTACATAAATAATTATTTAAATATACATGTAGACTTCAAATCTATAAATATGCATATATATTTAACCCCTTAAGGACCAATTTTCTGGAATAAAAGGGAATCATGACATGTCACACATGTCATGTGTCCTTAAGGGGTTAAATTCTACATGCATATTTATGTTATATTTTTACATAATTAAGTAATTTTATTGATTGCAATTTGAGGGACCTGCCTACCAACCCAGGCCGAAAGTCCAGAGAATTTAATTTGCTAGCACTGTATTTTACCCTGTAACTTTCAATGACACCCTAAAACATGTACATGGTGGGTACTGTTTTACCTGGGAGACTTATATATATAACAGTATAACAGTACCATGTACAGGCTTTATAGCATTTTTGAGAGTTACAGGGTCAAGTATAAGGGTCAAATATTTCTACATTGAAAAATGCCAGGTTGGTTACATTGCCTTTGAGAGCATATAGTAGCCCAGGAATGAGAATTAGCCCCATGATGGCATACCATTTGCAAAAGATGACAACCAAAGGTATTGAAAATGGGGTATGTCCAGTCTTTTTTAGTAGCCACTTAGTCACAAACACTGGCCAAAATTAGCATTCAATTTAGTTTTTTTTCCTTTTTCACATACAAACAAATATGAACGCTAACGCTGGCCAGTGTTTGTGACTAAGTGGCTACTAAAAAAATGCTGGACATACTCCATATGGAATACCCTGGGTTGTCTACTTTAAAAAAAAATGTACATGTGGGGTGTGATTCAGAGTTTTATGACCAATAATAGTGTTACAAAGTCACTATTGATACATTTTAAAAATATATATTTTGAAACAGCAATTTCCTATTTGTACTTAAAGACCTATAACTTGCAAAAAAAGCACGTAAACACTGTTTTTTTTTTTTTAAGACTCAGAACATATTTTTTTAATCTATCATTTTTTTCATTAGCTTTAGTAGGCAGTCCAAAAATATGTTTTTAAAAAAAAAAAAGAAAAAATTCACCATATTTTATTTTTATTTTTTTTTTAAGTAAATTTTGACATATTACAGATAATGGTATGTAAAGCAAGCCCTTTTTGTCCTGAAAAAAACAATATACAACTTGTATGGGAACAGTATGCAAACACCACAAAAGTGTTAAAAGAGCCCAGGTCCTTAACGTACAACATCGTAAAAACAGACCGGTCCTGAAGGGGTAAATTGATGTTCCCTTTTATAACTTTCATCTATTGTATCTCTCCCATTGCTTTTTTTCGTTTTTTTATCGCTTTAGCTGCATACCTCTCTACCTATAATTGTTGTTTTATCTGACCCCACACTCTCTTTTATAGCCTATGCCTAAAACAGCATTCATAAGTTTCACTCAGGACTCGGCATCATCTGGTCTTGCAGACAAGGCCATATACTAGCAGATAAAGATTAAGTCTCTCAAAACTCACTCAAACTTATTTTTTGCTCTCTTTCTAGAGGGCCACAGTCCACTTTCACCTTTCAGTTGTGCTACTTCCCAGCCTGCTGCTTGGTTGCTATTCGCTAGTCTGCCCTTACTGTGTTTTTATACCCTACCTGATGTAGATTGAAAGCACTTTCTAGCAGGGTCATTATCAACCTATTGTTCTGTAACAATTTGTAATCATTAGCTGTATGTAAATGCCAATAATTATAATATTAGATTTAACATGCACGTATACATATCAATTACCTCAATCCTATTAAAGTCTGCTTAACCTCTACATGTGTGCACAGAACGCTTATTTCATTTAATAGTGTGCTGTGGGCATTTGATTTCTTAAAATTTGTTTTAAGCTGTGTCCTTCTGGCATTATGCCCAGCTTCGTGAATACAATGTTTAGAAAGTAAATGCTAATTGTTTTAGTCAAATAATTACAAATCAAGGCTATGTCATGTCTGTGACAAACTCCCTGTGGCGAAAGTTACCTCGCCATTTGTACCAGGAGGGACCTGCTTGCCAGCCTCCTGCCCACAAACTATGGGCACTACAAGGAAACCTGTAAAACACTACCGAACTTGATCGACTGTTAGCACTGATTTCCCTGTAACTGTTTCGGGCATAGGACCATGTGCAAGGTCGGTCAAAACTATGACTTCCGGGAAATTCCTGAACCGATCTCGGTGATATCAGGGAAAGTAACTTTTATGGGGTTTTATGTGTTTTTAAGGTACTTTTTGGGTTTCATAAAATTGTATGCTTTTCTGTGATTGGAGATAATTGTATCAGCTTAGTACAGTCCCTGATTCAATTATCTCCCAAGCACAGAGGAGGGATTCTATTGTTTTGATGGGAGTGTCTCACTGTATGACTGTTTTTATTGGTTTATTCACTTTGTGTCTCTGTGCCCAGCAAGGTCCATCTGGATGTCACCCTTGTTGGGAAACTTGCATAAAAGGCCAGTGTGCGTGCATTAAAATTATGTTCCTGCTTACCCTCAACAGTCTCATCTCATGTGTGGGGGAGACGGCTGTATCTATCCTGGAAATTTGCTATATCACTATACTACCCAGGAGTTATAATCACTAGCTCTTATAAGAGCTGTTAATGCTACACTCTCTGGGAGTAGGAGATTTCTTCCCCCTTGGAAGCTGGATCCTGGTCTTGGGTCCAGGGTGGGTGAAGGATGGCGAGACCCAGGCGCATCTGCATCGCTGGTAGAGGGGTCTGCAGTGCTTATGGTGTCTGGTGGAGTGCTGGAATTCCTCGGTGAGCACTAGGAGCATCGATTGGTGGAGGCACTCTGTTGGAGTGCCAGGCGGTCCGTCACACTCCCCTTTTTACCTGAGTTTGCCACGAGTTCCTGAAAGGAGCCTGCTTGCCAGCCTACTGCCCACAGATTATGATCCCTGTGATATATAATGTAAAAGTCTCCAGTATGTGCTGCTGTTCAGTTCTCGAACAATATCGCTCAAATACACGAACAGAGACTTTTATATTATGTTTCACAGAGTTCATAGTCTCGGCAGGAGGCTGGGAAGCAGGCTCCTCCAGGAGCTTGTGGCAAACTCGGGTAAAAAGGGAGTTTTTTGACCCTACAAAGTTGCTACCCCAAACCCCCAATAATCCTACCCAACCTACTTGATATACCACAACCCCTACACACACCCTCCTTTACCCCCACTCTTCTGTATACAAAGATTCACTACCAACCCAAAGAAAAAGGAAAGGAAACTGATCATTCCGAAGGTAAAGGCTCTATCGTAACCGAGCTAAACCCTCAGTCATGATAAACTAATAGCGGATACTGATCAGACACCACCACTAGGGCAAGTGTATTACCCCAACCGCATATTAACAATCGTTTAACGTTATGTTTACGCCAGGCAAAAAAAACAACTTTCCTGTTGATTAGCACCATTACTTGTTCAATGACCTGTATCTTATTGTATTATAAATTAACAAGACGAGTCTAACACCATAATCTCATATTAACAAACATTTAAAGCCATGTTTACGCTATGAAGACAAATATAACCTTTTAGTTAATTGTTGTCACTACTCATACGATGTTATGTATACTGTCACTATATTACCATTGTTGAAACAAATTGAACTGTAATACCTGAACATGTCACGCATTAATAAATCAAAAATAAAGAATGTAAAAAAAAAAGGGGGGTGGGGGGAGAATTTGTTAAATTGTCATCTTTTGATCTTGGCCTTGAAACTTTGTCAAGTTAAGGTTGATTAGGTTTATTTTTCGAACATGAACTGATTTCAGGATGTGTAATATATGTACTGATTAATATTATAGAGAGCAGTTTTAGGAGAACATGTTTTTGCAGTTGCATTAACTCAAGATTGAGAGATCAATCTTTCTGGTTAGGAGGGTAGGTTATTCTATTTTACTTATATTGCAAGCATATGCATTTAACTTTATTTACTCTTTTGTTATTGTCTATATTCATTTATGTTCAATAAAATATTTTTAAAGACAAAAGTTATTGCTTCCAAAACCCTATTTTTTTGTTATTCTAATTATTTATATATTATAAATAGAGAAACCTGTCAATCTATAAAACATTTTTGCTGAGCTATTTATAAGGGTTAAACTCAAAGGAAGAAAAGAGTAAGCGCTAAATAACAGTGAAGCTGCAACGTTTAGAGGGGATCCCTCAGAGAACCCTCAAATATAATTGGGATAAAAAACAGAGATAAAGGCTGTGCTAAAATAGTCCAAAATAAATATAACTATATAATAAAATATATAATAAAAATAAAATAAAAGTCTTAGCTGGGAAAGATCTTCTTTAGATCAAATAGTCCATAAAGTGCTTGTTTTAGAAGGTGCTTGTCCAGGGGTAATATCCTCGCTGTTTTTCCTCAAAGGGATTCCATATGAAACGATAAACGATAAAAACAGATACAGGAACCAAATAGTGTAGTACGTCCAACATGGTACAGGAGATGGAAAGAAGAAAGGTAATGCAATCACATGTGATAGAGCTATAACTAGCTCTTAGTGTAAAAGGTGTGTAGCGGTATGATCCCCGCTTACAGGATATGGTGCAGGTTTCTTCTTCCACAGGTATGTTTCACACTCAAATAGAATAGAGAAGAGAAACAACCAATAGTGCTCACTGAATGAAATAAAATAAATAGAATAGGATAAAAAGGTACTCACAAGGGTGGAGCAGGCAAACTGCTCCTTGAGGACAGCGTCGGTGGTATGATCCCCACCTCAGGATTACTTGGAGTCCAAGAGAGTAAAATGCCAGGTAAAAAAAATAAAAATATATGTATAAAGTGTATATAAAAGATGATTGGTACAAGTAAAAAAATAACCAAAAAATCTTTAATAAAGTAAAATACACAAATATAGTTTCCACAAACGTGTTTCACCAATAATGCTTCTTCAATATGGAATTTTACATAATACCTGGCAGGGTTCCTTTAAATAGGGGTACAATTGATTAAAATTGGCACCAAAACTAAGGGCAACCAATCAGAATGCAGTGAATGTTAAAAACAGTAAACATATAAAAATACAAATTTTGTATGATATAAATAATAAGTGTGTAATGTACATAACTCCGTGTTACATGTGGAGTTTAAAAACGAGCAGTTATTTGTACAATATTTGACGTTGTTTGCGGTCACGTGATATTCGTGATACCGCAAAGAGATATGGGGGATGTAGTCCATCGGGGCTCATGCGCGCGTCCCAATGGGAAGAAGTATGCGTCGGCTCGCATAATCATGCGGCCGACGTAACAAGAGGAGGAATGGAAGGGGGTGCGCCTGATAGGTCGCTATGACCAATAGGCGAATAGGTGGGTGGGGGGAGGGCGTTGGACAAGCCGCAATCGGCAGCAAAAAGGAATACTAAAGATTGCTTATGAAATACATAACACATGACTAGAAGTATCATTTAAAGAAAAATAAATGAAGATGGGTGGATAGGCTAAAACAAATAAGAACATATAAAAACAATTGAATAGAAATAAATAGTAGGACACAAAATGACATATAAAGAGCTAAAAACATATAAAAAGCAATAAAAACATAAATTATGATAAAATAAGAATGAATATAAAATGGAATAACAGTTATAAGAAATTAAATAAGTCAAAATCCGCATTTAGACCATGGGGTATAAGAGTCTGAAGCTTATACACCCATTCCATTTCTGTTCTCCCAAGAATGTTTTTTATATCACCAACTCTCGAAGGCAGATGGGTGTATAAGCTTCAGACTCTTATACCCCACTGTCTAAATGCGGATTTTGACTTATTTAATTTCTTATAACTGTTATTCCATTTTATATTCATTCTTATTTTATCATAATTTATGTTTTTATTGCTTTTTATATGTTTATATGATGCAATTCTGATCTACTAAACTACTGTATTATATTTTGTATTAGTAAATTGAAAGCATTTTGCAGACCCAAAAGAGGATAAATAATCTAATAAATACAAAAGGAGCCAAACTATGGGAAGAGGTCACCCAATTACCTCGCTAACGGGTTAAAATCATTTTTTGATAAGCATATAAAATTTAGTTTTTGTGGTTGGAGACTTTTGATACTCAATTTGAAATATAATAGAAAAGACAAAGTGGAAACACCTCCCAAATACGTGATATTATAACCATAAATGTAAATAACCTGTGATATAGGTAGTAATTCTCAGACAGAATCTGTATGGAAAATTAAAAAGCTAACATAGCGTAATATAGTACTAGAAAAGTGAGTATATTTGTGAAAATAAATGCACTCACAAACAAAATTGGATTCAGGCTTCTCACCCTCCAAAAGGGTAGTAATCTTAGTAGATAGTCCTCCTCCGTGGGATATATAGAAGAAGAACAGGAAACAAATATAGTGAAGCATGTAATTATATTACAGAATCATATTTATTGGTCACACTTACAGGAGAAAAGATGTGACAGGCATATCTCCAAATCACATGGAACTCCAAGACTGATATAGAAAAAGTCCAATAGAAGATCCAATGGAGCAGGCAGGATACAATAGAAATAAAATTAAAATAAAATAAATATAAAAATTACATACAGGATATAAAAACAAATAGCAGCATGTATAGGTTCAGAAGTATCCAACGCGTTTCGTCAATTTGAAATATATCCCAACCACATCCTTGCAGGGCCCCAGGTACAGGAAGCAATATGCTTTTTAACATTTTGCAAAGTCTTAGTGTTTTCAATATATTCTGACAATGGAAAAGTACCTAACCGCATGCCTGCAGTATTGCAGACCCTTTATGAAGACTCTGCTTTCACTGTTTATGTATACACCCCTAGACAACCGTGCTTTACATACACAATTTAACTATACCTTAAACCTTTAAAAGCTTATTAATATATTTGTGTGGTACACAAGGAGGGGTGTGAGTTTGTTAATCTCATCCTAGCATTATAGGGAACAAAGGATTTTACAAAGTATTTTGTAGTAAGATATTGATACTTTTTGAGAATTCTGAACTAGATGGTTCATGTTTTTAATATTTTATATATAGTTTTGGGTGTTAATCCAAGAGTATTGAATTATTTGGGATTATTAAAGTAATTCATTGAGGTTGTCAAATCAAGGTTTAAGTTTAAGAACAGAGTTTTATTGGGAATTATTTCCATATGTGTATGTTAAGATTATGTATATAGATTTTATCAGTCAGTCACTTGCTCGAGAGAGTGTTTTAGTACCCAACCTGTCCAATCAAGTATTTATATAGAGTGAGTGTTTCTCTCATCTGTACAAAGGCATTCCAAAGGGAATTTAAAATTTAATAGACGACAAATTTCATGAAATATAAGCAAAGCTGAGAGAAGTACATGTTACACCAGTTAAGGATTTAATTTTAGTCTCTAATTTGACTTTTAGCCTAGGTAATTGATAAATTGATAATAATAGATATATCCTTTTAGAATTATTCATGTCGTATTGATCCTTGTGTTTATATATTTGTAGAGACCATCCTGGAGTGATTGTGCTACCTGGTTCTTGGGATTGAGCACCAATCTGTCTCCCTGGCCGACTTTGCACTACCTATTTTGCAATTACATCTGTTTGGTCAAAATCCATGCAGGCCGAAGAAACTGAGATGCTTACTTATGAGGACATAACCTTTGTACGCAAGAACCTGGAAAGTCCTGAAGGTGCGGTGCTGTCTAATGCCGCTAGTTCTGTTATAACCCTTTCAACAATTGGAGTGTTGCACAGAGCATTGTGGTGAACATTCAGCAAACAGAAGAAGAACTATGTGGAAGCTGGCATTGTCTTGTTGTCAGCCATATTGCTACCCTTAGCTATTTTATGGAACAAAATGTATAGTCTCCAAATGTATACTCCTTGAAGGACTTATTCTACTTTTTCTGAACTATGCTGAACTATTGAACTATTTTGTTACTTTTATTTTTTGTAGAGTTAGCCAGAGAGAGCTGGCCCCTGGAGGGATGTAGTATGTGTTGTTGATATATGTTGAGTGCGACAAGGATGGATTCCCATGTTGTGAAAAACTGGATGTAGGTATGACTTGGTTTGACTGGACCTTTTGGAATAGGGAAATTGTTAGAAGATATAGGACGTAAGGTCCTGGTTGCAATTGCTGTAATAATTGTGAGTTTGATGATAATATACTTAATGATGATAATATGCAAATGGACTTTTCCCACCATTATCAAGAAGTGTTTCCCATCTCCTCCCAATACCCAAGCTATGTATTCACAGGTGCAGCTATTAGAAGTCACAGGTGGTGTCAACGTGAGGGATGACATGTCTATACGGTTGTGGCCCCCATTCAGGGTTTCCCCAGATGTGCTTTTTCCTCAAATATGAGTTTTTGTCATTGGATTTTTTTGACCTGGCCCCAGATCACCAGGTGAACTGTAAATCCTAGACCCATGTCCACGGGACATGGGTATGGGTATTATTCCCACTTTGACTATAGGCGTTCACGTTGTGAGCGAAGGTCGGAAAGTGTTGGGAATAATACACTTTGCCTATACTGACCCAAGGCTCCAGCTACAGATGACTGATTGTTCAGTATGTTTAAAATTGGCTAACTCGGAGCATGTTAGTTATTTGAAATAATAAAGTTTGCCTATATACAATACTTAGTGTAAATACCCCTAGACAGAGCTATGAACTTTCCTGTGTCAGAGCGTTGGTCTTATTTGCGGTTTTCTATTTCTGTAATTCTTACTGCGTAGTAACATATCTATTTTACGAGTGCATAGTAACTTTTTATTTCAGCTGCATAGTTAAACTGAAACTTGTTAACCCCTATTATCACGTTGGAATAGTTCTCAACTCAGTGTTCTAATTGTTTGTCTGGGTGGCCTTGTGTCGAAAGCTACTTCGCCATTTGGGTTTGGAGGGGACTACTTGCCAGCCTTTTACCCTGTGACTGTGGCCTCTTTAATTTATTGTGGTTGAGGGACCCTATTTGTGGCTGTTGGGACTT